GTTCCAAACTTCTTCCATTTTAAGAATGATGGAGGCCACTGTGTTCTTGGGGAACTTCAATGCTGCAGACATTTTTTGGATACTCTTCCCCAGATATGTGCCTCGACACAATCCTGTCTCTGAGCTCTACGGACAATTCCTCCGATGCTCCCAATCCAACCTGACAGAGCTTGAGAGGATCTGCAGAGCAGAATGGGAGAAAATCCCCAAATACAGGTTTGCAAAGCTTGAAGCATCATACCCAAGAATACTTGAGGCTGTAGTCACTGCCAAAAGTGCTTCAACAAAGTACTGAGTAAAGGGTCTGAATACTTATGTAAATGTGATCCGTTTTTTATTTTTAATACATTTGCAAAAAAATCTAAAAACCTGTTTTTGCTTTGTCATCATGGGGTATTTTTTATAGATTGATGAGGGGAAAAAACTATTTAATCCATTTTAGAATAAGACTGTAACATAACAAAATGTGGACAAAGACCAGGGGTCTGAATACTTTCCGAATGCATTGTACGTCTCTCCTTGGGTGGGAGATGGACATTTTAAGCTTATCAACAATTGATCCATTCATCCTTCCATCCCTACATCTCTCCCCAGCCTTCCTCTCCTCTGAGGACCCAGTGAGGGTGGAGATCAGTCAGAGAGCTGCTGAGGGACTGGTTAGGAAGAACACTTCTGCAGCCAGTGAGGTGAGCGGTCACACATGGTTTAGATGGTAAATATTTGTCACCATAGCGGTTCATCTTGTAAGCAAAAGGGAATATGTTCCATCTACACTGAACAAAAATATACAGTGGGGAAAAAAAGTATTTAGTCAGCCACCAATTGTGCAAGTTCTCCCACTTAAAAAGATGAGAGAGGCCTGTAATTTTCATCATAGGTACACGTCATAGGTTCTCTTTCGGACTGCCTTTTATATGTAAGGCTCAGATTGTCCACAAGAAGTCACAATGTCCTTCTTCTTAGTTGTCTGTTTACTTTCACTCGTTCTGGAAGTGGTCTTCTGAGGACGGCTAATCAGCCGTGTCGATGAGCCCCTGTGGGGTGATGAGAGCAGTGTAGTAGACGATGGCTTGAAGAGAGTAACAGGATGGTCCAACTTAAATTCACCTTCTTAGATACAGTACTTAGAACAGCTACTCAGCCGTAACATTGATTGTTAGTGGAGGCAACTTTGTCGTTGTCAAGTCTCCTCCCGTTGCTCCCCTCAGGCGCTCTGATTCGCCGGTCTACTGAGCCACCGGTCTGAGCGCACCACCTCGGCAACACCGGAATAGAAACCCAATGCACCCTAATCACCTCCAGCGCACCTGCACCTCATCACCACTCCTATATAGACCTGGACTGTTCTGTGTTGTGTGTGATTGTTAGTGTCATGTACTCGCTCTTTGGTTGTTCTATTGCACAGTGGTAAGTAAACCTTTACATTGTTGATTCCTGCGTCTGCGTCCTGCCTCTTCGTAACCTCAGTACTCGTCAGTCGTCTTCACCTCGTGTTGATTTTCAGGGTCAGGACCAATATGGACAAAAGCTGCAGCTTGAGGTCCGTCTAGTCTGATAATTCTTAACAAAATATTTTATGCACTCTGGTAAAGAGGGGTGTTTCCGTCATATTGACACGCTCTCTGAGCTCCCTCGGGCGTGGCTAGTTACGAGGCAAAAGTATTATCATCACTATGATTTTGTTAGAAAGCTAAAATCACATTCCCATCTTCACAGAAACATTGTCTTCCTCCTTGATATTTTCTACACAAGGTAAAGGATGTATACCTGATATACACAGTGTAAAAGCTCTTCAAGTCACAATGTTTTCGTTATAATGCCTTTATACCATTTTTTATGACATCACAAAATATACATTAATTTTCCATATTCAATTTCTCATCATTCCCAACGTTTTGGATGTTGAAATATATTGTCCCAATGTTCATTGTAGGATGTTGAAGTTTTTGGGCGGCAAAAGACTCTGAAACAAAGGACATTCCTTTCACCATACAACAGGGCCAGAGATAGGAGAATCTATCTCTAATTTATGGCAGTATTAAGGTGTCAAGACCGGCAGAGCCCCCCCCCCCCCCCCTTTTCACCTTCTCCATTGCGGTCCCATCCATGTGAAAAGGGGCATGCTCTCTCTGTTGTCTCCTGAAGTCTACGATCAGCTCCAACGTTTTGTTGACGTTGAGGGAGAGGTTATTTTCCTGCCACCACTCCACCAGGGCCCTCACCTCCTCCCTGTAGGCTGTCTCGTCATTGTTGGTAATCAGGCCTACTACTGTTGTGACGTCTGCAAACTTGATGATTGAGTTGGAGGCATGCGTGGTCACGCAGTCATGGGTGAACAGGGAGTACAGAAGGGGGCTGAGCACGCACTCTTGTGGGGCCCCTGTGCCATTGGTTTTACTGAATCAATGGCATTATTTAGGATGCTTAAGACAGAGGTTTATACTATATTAAATAGTGTGCCTTCAACAGGATTCGACCTCATACCCTCACGTCCCTGAATGTCCCCTAATATATTTGCTAAAGTACCGGTCAGGTACAGATTTTTGTCAAAATCCTAACTATATTTGTAAGTACGGTGTCCAGTAGAGGTCAGTGTTTGAAAGCCGCTTGGAATCGGAGGAATCGAAAGAAAGCACTGGAACCACGGCAAAATCTGTGGGATCTCGCATTTTGCAACACAAGGTTTGAAAAAGCACGTGATCAAACAAAGCTTCGGATGTCATTGATTACGTACTTCTGATAAAGTGATACACGCATCGGCACACTGATTAGAAGTTAACTGCTTAGCCATTTCGACGCATGCCTCGGCGCTTTGGTATCAAACGGAACATCACTACTATCCACCAGAAATGGCTGCAAGAACTCACTCCACTTCTCCAATAACAGCACTGAAACATTTAACTTGCTTAACAACCCTGGCGTTGCAAGCGCCATACTCTACCAACTGAGCTACAGGGGACCAGGAGACGTGCAGTACTATCATAAGGAGAGTTATACTTGGAATACGGAGGAGGTATGGAAGGAAAAAGAGGCACAGGAGGTCTAAGAGAGAGAGGGAGGGTGAGCTTGAGTCAGTTAAAAATGTCGGGAGAAAGGGAGATGGTTTGTTAAAGAAGAATGGTAGAAAGTGTAAACAGAGTGAGTTGAAGACAGGAGGAGAAATGGAAGTGAATGAGGGCGAAGTATCGGAGGTGGTAGGTGTGGTGAAGTTCTCTGAGCCTGAGGTTTGCACCGAGGGTCAGGATAAAGATGAGTCTGTGACAGTAGGAGTGAAGTTTTGGGAAAAAGTGGACCCTTGCCTTTTGGCTGATCCATTTGTGGTTTCAGGATGGTTGTTGTGAAATCGGTGAGGGTAACCAGAAGTGGTCTAGTGATAATTGTTTGTGTTTCTGCTGGTCAGAGGGAGCAGGCGCTCCGTGTTAAACGAATGGGGGCAAGAGATGTGAATTGTTTTGTTCTCAGGAAAAGGGTGCCATTGAAAGGAATGATTACTGGGGTAGCTGTAAATGTGAAAGCTGACCACTGAAGGGGAAGATTCCCGGTGTTTGTGATGCTCGTCGTTTGGTGCGACGCAGACAGGGTGGCGTGAGTGGAGAAACAGAAGAGTCATTGTCTGCTCTTTTGAGTTTTGATGTTGAGTCTTTGCCCGACAAAGTGATGTTAGGATATATAAGTTATCCTGTACGAGCTTTTGTGACGAATACATTACGTTGTTACAGGTGTCAAGCTTATGGGCATGTGGCAGCAGTGTGTAGGAGGGAGGTTCCTAGGTGTGAGAATTGTGCAGAAGGGCATGAGACAAAGGAATGTGTAGCATTGGGGAAAGTAGTGGTATGTGTTAATTGTAGGGGTGCCCATGGGGCTGGGGATCCGAAATGTCTGGTGCGAGAGAGGCAGGTTGAAGTTTCCAGGGTTAGAGTAGTGCAGAAGTTGTCATATGCTGAGGCAGTGAAGAAAGTAGAGGAAGATGGGTAAAGGGGGAGGTATCCTGAGAGGAATGGTGTGAGTAGTAGAGATGTACCAGTACAGAGGGATAAACCAACAAGTGATATATGTATCAGTAAGATTGGATTTTTGGCATTTATAGCAATGGTTATCAACTGTACTAAAGTCGCAGAAAATAGAGGTTGTGGTGGCAGCTGCAGAGAGGTATTTGGGTGTGCGAGACTTGACATCAGAAGAGTTACAGGGTGTGTTAAGTGGTGGTGTCTCATCCCTTCAGGCTGTTGGCCTGCAGTAGTAATACATCGATTTAAATAGTGGAGTATGGTAGTTATAAATATTGTGGGTTTTTTTTGTTAGTGTAGTATTAGATGGTAGGGTATTTGTTGTATTTAAAAAAAAAAAATGTAAGCAAAGTATAAGGGAGTTATACTCCAGTCTAGTAGGTGGCGGTAATTTAACATTTATTGGATGCCAACCGCCGTTAAACCTCGTCGAAGAAGAAGCCATGATATCATAGAAGAAGTCAACGTAGATGAGGAACTGAACACGTGTGGGGGAAAAGGAATCAACGCTTGCTGAGAGGCCACATTTAAGTAGGTAAAGTTATATATTGTTATTTATATAATCCGATATGGCAAAAATATCTGGTGAATATTGAAACGTAGGTATATAACTATAGTTTGTATGGGTACCAGCCAGTGATCTTGGATTTTCTTAAAATGTTGGTTAGCAAACGTTACTCAATTTGGCTAGCTAGCTAAATTGCCAACGTTGGCTAACTATCTGTATGGATCGCGTAGTAATGTATTGCAATGAAACAGTTGTCATGTTTGTATGGACCATTGTAGTAATACAGCCGTCGGTAGCCACTAAATTTTATAAGAAGCTAATTTGTCAGTCTGGGCTAACTGAGACGGCTAGCTCGCTTGGCTAGTACTAGTAGAAACTATTGATAGTTAACTAACGGTAAACGTTAGCTAGTTAGGAAGTGCGTAATCTTCACATCCATTTTCTTTTGTTTAAGAAAAGTTCTGCCTCAACTGTAAAACTTCAACATGGCTGTCAGGGCATCTTTCGAGAAGAACAACGAAATAGGCTGCTTCGCCAAATTAACAAACACATACTGCCTAGTTGCAATTGGCGGGTCAGAGAACTTCTACAGGTAAGCGAGATGTGGCATCTTTTATCGAGAACAGCATCTACCATTAACGTTAGCGAAGACGGGTATCTCGTCGCGGAACGCTATATTCCAGTACTCCGCAAAATATGTTACGTTATCAGTCCTCTTAACGGTTTTCGAAAGAAAGCGTTTACGCCAAACGGAAAGCGGTTTGTAACGAAAACGAGAGTTTATCCCCCCATACATAAACATTTATGCACGCATGACTGTAAGTCGCTTTGGATAAAAGCGTCTGCTAAATGGCTTATTATTATTATATTGGACAAATTCAGGTATGCCCCTCTCCGTTCCGTTTGGTTCTTAAACCGTTTCAGTTTCAAGATGTAATGAATACCTGTTTCCAGTCACCTAATCCGGAAAGCTTGACCAGTCAGTACGGGTTGCAAAATGTGTAAACAACTAAAATAAACTTTTAAATCAAAATTTTCCGACGCTCACTCCCTAGGACATACTCGGTAGTAGTTGCCACGCGAGATTACCGCGTGATCCGAGATGGCGGCGGACTTTAGGGAGATACAGTATGAATTGAATTCGGTGAGCTCTGGAAAAGTTGTATTTCAATGTTTGTTCATTTTTAGTGGTTCACACATTTAACAACCTCTATTGACTGGTAAAGCATTCCGGATTATAGATGTGCCTTTGACGCGAAACGTTTTTCGGAAACAGGTAAACCAGTGGGCTGGTATATATTTTGTGGGGTATTTTTTTTAAATGTAACCTTTTATTTAACTAGTCTAAGGTATGAGGATATAGTGTTCAGCGACAGGAGACCAATATAATGGTCTACCAAGCATTGAGGCTAATCGGCACTACATTTTGAGAATGTTTATGACATGAGTAGAATGGTAGATGACTGAAGTTATGTAATACCACAAGTGTTCCTGGTGTGATTGTATGACACTAACAAAGTGGGGACTACTGGCAACTAGAGGGCTGCTGATGTCAGATCCCAGGTGCAATTGCCTACCGTTGTGCCCTTGAGTAAGGCACTTAACCCCATAACTAGCTGCATGGGTGCTGCACTGTGGCTGACCCTGTGTTCTTCTCAGTGTGTGTGTCTGATTGAAAACAGAGCATAAGAGTAAAGTTGTATTGAAAGCTTACATACTTACATACAGTAATGTCAGCCTTCTCTGGGGAGTGTTTGTTATAAAATCAGCATTGTTGTCATGGTAACATGCCATTTATGATTACAGTGTCTTTGAAGGCGAGTTGTCCGAAACCATCCCAGTTGTACATGCCTCAATAGCAGGATGTCGGATAATTGGAAGAATGTGTGTGGGTGAGTATGGCTCTGTAACAGATTAACATTGTAGGTCAAACAGCTAGAGACTGCAAGTGCACAAAGAAACACAAAGCAATGTCATCAGTTCAACAGGAGAATGGAATACTTAACCTTTTCACGTGTGAGTTCCAAATATCTCTAACGTTCCCCCCAGCGTGAATTATTTTCTGCTTGTGATGACCGAATGCACTCAATTTTCCAAAATGTGATTTGTTATGCAACAGGACAGTTACCTGAGCTGCCCTCAAACCAAGGCACGCTATTTTCTAACAACAGATTGAATTGAGGTGTGTTCCGCCTCCTCGTTAATTCAAATAAGAAGTAGCCCATTTCACTGTTACAGACAATTTATGGTTGAGGCTTTACTGAGCCGGACAAACTTCTCTATTCGACAAGAGCCCAAGCACTTCCCCAGTGTTTCCCCAGATCAAGTATGAAGACATTGCACATCTCTAGTCAGAATAGGCCTTTCACAAACTTTTCCCCCCTGCCGCATTGCCTTTGTTGTTTTCCTTACAAATAATAACTTTGGATATGTGTACGTTCATATCAAAGTAAGTGCCTTATTTTCTGTATATCACGTTGTCGTTCCTACTGTAGCACACCGTATGTATGGAGCATAATGTATTTGCTGTTTTATTCAAGTTTTCAAGTACTGGTGACAAATCATGCATTCCGATTCTTGCATAGATTGTAATGGACACATGATGTCTGTAAAATACTTTTTAGAAGGTTGTATTGATTATGACGAGCTAAGCTATTTGCCAGCTATGTGTGGCGCCATGTTTGTTGACATACAATGCATTCTGGTTGTCACGTAAGCGTCTGTCAGACCAAAGATGTTGTAAAAATGAGGTAGAGGGATAGTTCACTCGACTGACTTATGCTGCTTTCAAGACAACTGGGAACTCTGAAAAATACGAGGTCAAATCATGACGTCAGTGATCTTCAGGTCGGAATGTCGGAGCTCTAGAAAGAGGCCTGAGTTCCTGAGTTGGAATTCCGAGTTGGATGACCGTTCAAAGATTTTTCCCAGTCTGAGCTAGTTTTTTTCCCCCCAGAGTTCCCAGTTGTCTTGAACGCTTGGAAGTCTGAGATTTCCCAGTTGTTTTGAATGCGGCATCAGATTATAACTATGGTATCTCAGGGTTGCCAGCTCAGATCCAGTGGTTTTATTTGTATTTGGCGTATAAACCTCTGCAGCGTATTTCCTGCATCATATCCCCCAACGATACCTTCCCCCATTTCTACCCTCCATGTACTTGAAAATCCCCCACGAATGAAATTAACATTTTATTTGCTTTGTGATTGGTCAAACGGTAAACGACTTGTAAAGTCATGTGCTCCGGTTCTTGTATACACTGTAACAAGTACATTGAAGATTTGTAATATGCTGAAAAGTGGCCAAACTTGTTCATATTTTTCAGGCAATGAGCAAAGCCGTCTTTTACTTTGTTTATTTGCGTCTTATAGTGAATGGCATTCTGGAATTGGAGTTTTTCGCTTGTCAAACATAAACAAACATGGCTGCCATCATAAAGAATTTAGCTGCTGTTAGCTTAGCTGACACACATCTCTTTTCTAAACAATATTACATTTTTCCCTTGTGCTCACCAGAGAGATTGTAAACAAGTCTAGCTGTTCGGTCTCTAACTTACGTTTTGTTTTGTCAGCGCAACCTGTTCTTTAGACTGGTTTATGGAATGTGTTTGGCTGTGGATGTGTTCCGTGTGATGTTTTGGATGATCAAGTTCGCATTTATCTTTTACAATAAAAGGTGAAATTGAGGAATAAAGTTGTGGACTTATTTCCCATCAGTACAAAACATTGTCTAGATGCTTTTCAGACACGAATGTTGCATCATATGTTCTGTTGGCACTGTTCCAATCACATATTTGCGATGGTACGCTGCAGGGACCACTCAACAATGCTCATAAATGTTATCGTATGCGCCCAAGGGTTAATTACGCTTTATGTAATAGACTAGGACTGTACTTGATATTTTATGAAAATATTTTAGGTAATTGACTGTTGTGATAAATACAAATGTACAGCGAACACTCAACTACTTCTAATTGTAACTTTGCGCACCAGGGAATCGTCATGGACTCCTGGTGCCCAACAACACCACGGACCAGGAGCTGCAGCACATTAGGAATTGTCTCCCAGACACAGTCAAGATCCAGAGGGTAGAGGAGAGGCTCTCAGCACTGGGGAATGTCATTGCCTGTAATGACTATGTGGCCCTGGTGCATCCTGACCTGGACAGGGTGAGGGGAAACGATGCGTAATTGCCTGGATGTCTAAACATTGTCCTGGGCTAGTAAAAGTTATGAGTGGATAACCAGTCTGACTAGCTGCTATATACCTTAATTCGTCAGAAGTTATATTTCCCTTGTTTGTATTCGATTACAATGGGTACTCTACATTTTCAAAAGCTAATATTTAACAGGTTAAATTTATGACAATGTCAAACCAAAAGATGTGTTTGGAGTGCAGTGCAAATATTTTATGTTTTGAGTTGTATCAGAACAGCCATTCATTGGAACATACAGCATACTCCTAACTTTGCCTTCAGCCAGCCACATTTCACATTTTTTAAATGAAATGATTTTCACGAGTACTCTTAACACAAATTATTTCAAATGCCCATCCCTAGGACATTGTCTGACATAGGGGATGTTAACACACTTCCCATGTTTGTTTAGGAGACAGAGGAGATCCTGGCAGACAGTCTGAAGGTGGAGGTGTTCCGTCAGACAGTAGCAGAGCAAGTTCTAGTGGGGAGCTACTGTGCCTTCAGCAATCAGGGGGGACTGGTACACCCCAAGACATCCATAGAAGACCAGGATGAGCTCTCCTCCCTACTCCAAGTGCCTCTGGTGGTGAGTGATAGTGGTCATGGTGCTGCTTATGGTCATTTCTACTATGTTCCTATCCCATACTACAAGGCTTTTTATGTAGATCTAAATCAATCGGATATGTATAAGCAATGTGATAATACGTCTACCTTGCCCTCTGATAGGTTAGGTGGACAGTTCTCCACATTGTTTACATTTTTAGATCTACTGAAGTGCCAGGGGGGGGGGGGGGGCACATTGCATCAAGTTGGTGATGAGTGCTTGAGTTACTCCCAACTCTCTCTGTCCGCACTCCACAGGCAGGAACGGTGAACCGTGGTAGCGAGGTCATCGCCGCAGGGATGGTGGTAAACGACTGGTGCGCCTTCACTGGGCTGGACACCACCAGCACAGAGCTGTCTGTCATCGAGAGTGTGTTCAGACTGAGCGAGTCTCAGCCCAGCGCCATCGCTACCACAATGAGAGACTCTCTAATTGACAGGTGAGTGATCATTTCTTGACACCATGAGAAACTCACTTATTATAGGCACCATCCAGAGTTCGCTTCAGATGACAACAGAAGTGCAACGCAATTTGGCTGGCAGCCACAGTAAATGAGGTTACAATGAAAAAGGCAAGGTTGTTTTTGCAAAAACAATGCATGGCCATCATATTTCTGTTTATCATAGAAAGAATGTAGCCAGCTACATTTCCTTAAGGTTTGCTTAAAGTTAATCTTGAATTTTACCACAGAGAAAAAAGTACGGGAGAAAAAAGCTACATCAGTCACAGCGCTGGCTGTGATAGAATGCCCGTTTGTGAATTCTCATCCGAGTGGAGAAGCACAAAATGACTCTGATGCCGAACAGAAATTACAATAAGAAGCATTTTAGATCTGTGTTTACAAAAACGCAGCAAGATAGTTGTTAGGCGTTTATCTCTTTTTCCTGCGTAAAAATAAATTCTGGATTAACGCGACCCCAAGTCTAACTTGCTAGTTATCTAAGTAACTGAATTAATAAGGTGACAGGGCATCATATTATGTAAGCTTTGTGCCGTGTTTGAGAAGTCATAGCCCTTTGAAGGAGTTCTGTACAGCTGCCACCATCTTGATTTCCTTGCCTTTTTTCTCTCCTCTCCATTCTCGGCTGTCTGCTCCTCCTCTCCGAGCAGGCAGGCCCGTTGCCCTAGCGACTCCAGACACAGCGTTGTACACATGCTGCTTCAGAGCAGACAAGCATGCGTCAGCTTTGTTCATTTGCACAATGTCTCTCGTTCACATTCGCTTGTAAATGTCCAAACTCACCAAAAATGACATTTGGTAGCGCCTACCTATACATGTATAACTTTATGCGCTGGATTGCCTGTCTTTGCAATTCGTTTGCGCTCATTAGCATATTTAGCTAGCAGCCTCCATGGAAATTGCTATTACTTGTGCTAATTTTGTTAGCATTCTGGTAAAATGCCCAATGGTCTCATGTTTTGGCGCTCCCTTGTGTACTAAGCCGGTAATCCCGTAATGAGAAGGACGGTATGACCATCTGGAAACTGCCCAACCCTATGAAATACTGTGACTGATTTTATAAAGTAAATATTGTATGTTTATTACATCATTCTTTTCACATGGTGGGGTCGTGAGCTCAAAGTTTGGGAACCCCTGCCCTACAGGAGGAGTTATGGCCAATGACCTAGCAAATCACCTTTGTAAACCCTTTATTTTGGGGTGGATATTTTTTGAATGCGCAGAAAAGTCTGAAACCATTTTGCTCAACTTTTTTTTTTTACACTTAAGTGTGTGTACATTACTGTGTATCGTTTTTTTCAACGGGAACAGTTAAAAAAAAAATGCGTTAAGATGCTCATGGATATTTACTGGCGCCTTTGACATACAATTACCATTGCAGATAAAAGGCTATACTGTAGCACCATTTCTAATATTACATTCTCTTTTCTAGCCTCACATAAGATGCCATTCCACCTTGAATGAAAGGTTTGAGGCACCTCTGGAAAAACTGCTGCAGAATGCAAGAAGCTGGAAATGTCTCCCATAAAACACTTCTCGTCATTTGATATGGTTAAAACCTTCAATGTTTAGCATTGGAAATGTGTATGGTATATCAATGCTAGACTTCATAATTTTGTACAATAACTATGTATAGTCTGGCAATATTAAATCAAGATTTTCCCATAAAACAGTATCAATGTTACATTTGAGTGCCATGTTTTGATTCCTAGAAAAGTTGAATGTTCCATATGTGAAGTGTACATTACATGTCTGTGTCTGCCATGCATGGCTTTACTGTAATGCAATTGGTAAACACTTAACATAGTTGAGATGTGGGGATATTCTGTGCAGATTTCTGCAATGTACAATAAATGGATTACCCTTTAACACGTTGCATTTTTGTCACAATCTGTTTCTCATCAAGTTATTACATCTTACCTTGTGGTCAAACTTTTGAGTGAAGACACTGTTCTGATTTGAAAGTTATTCCTTTCTTTTACTGTCCACCTACATGGGTCTCTGGTGCCCTTTGGTAAAGTTCTTTAGACCTACTCACATCTAAATTCATTTGCAAATTCTAAATCTTGTTTACTATGCATGCATCCTTAGCAGTAATTTGTGGGTATACTTGAGTGGCAGATTGACTCTGGCTGCTCACCATACAATCCACCTGTGGTGATGGAGCTACTTTTATGCTAATTTCTACATCTGCCCAGATTATCGGTAATATGAAGGCCAATTTATTGTTCGTCCCTAATTCGTATTTAAGTGACACCTGTAAACCACTAATTGCATTCATGGCTCAAGTAAAGTCATTGGCAAATGCTTAAAATAAATTTGAAGCAATGCTGTGACGCTGCTTGAGTTTGTTACAATTTGAAGAATTTAAATACACATTGATTTGATTGTTTATACACACACAATGTTTCAAACCAAAAGAACGTTTTTTATAAACTTACAGAAATATCTATTGTGTCAAAAACATGCAACGTATGTAGTGTATCACAAGCCCTTCATTTCAAAAGTATATTTACCAAAGGCATACGGCGAGAATATCAGACAAATATGAATGTTATACAGTAATACATTTTTTTTATTCAATGCTGAGTCTTATTTTATTGATGTGCAAAGAAGCTTATTTCTACATATCAGTTTCCACCACTCAATTCTATGTACTAGCCTATATCACAACACATTTTCCACCACTGCCTGTCATGACTGTATGGATGTTCGTCTTGCCCATGGAACCAGTCAGCCACCCAAGACTGTTGCCATTCGAAGGTGACAGACTGAAACTACTGAATAAGCGTTCATCACAGTTATCTTATTGATTATTAAACAGTACTTGAAAATACAGGGAGAGGGGAGAACAACCTAAAATAGCCATTGCTCTAGCAGATTTAGGTACAATGATATTGATGGCTTAGCCTATGGTAGCGCAATTGCTTTCCTTGTGTAGTTTATTCAGTTGCACTGTTGGCAAACAGAGACGTAACGTCGGTAAGCTGTATCAATATTGGGGAAAACTCAAGACATTGCCTAAACCAATGGTTATGGATAAAACCTATTACCACGTTAGTAAAAAGACTGAATGAAAACCTAAAAATAAAATGTTTAGTTTTCTCTCCTGAAAAACCTATTTACAAGGACAAACGACATGTTGCTGTCTTTAAAAGCAGGTCGCAGGTTGGCATTTCAGAGGACTCGTACTAGAAGCAGCTCTGCAGTGGTCACTAGCTGGCACAGCCACCACACCGCTAACCCTACCCTAACCTTAAAGACTCCTAATATAATGTACCTCCACCCAATCTTACACCAAGAATACTAGTTTTAATAAGGAGGACAAAAGGGGAAGGGGATGTTGCACAGTATTCCTGTTTACCTACTACGGTCATGAAAAGACGCAGTTATTTTGTTATCTGTTTAATGACCCTTAAGGGGAACTCAACCATCCAGGGGGTGGGGCAAAAGAGAGAACACACAGCCGGGCGAGACCTAACTCTACCCAACCTCACCTCTCTCTGTACCCCTGTGCCTCCCTCTTGCTCACCTCTCCCCTCTTTCTCTGACCAGACTTCCCTCTCTCCCTAGCAGCCGAAGGTCTCCTGAGAGGCGTAGAGAAAGCCATCCTCGTCGCGCTCCTGCTCGTAGATCTCTGAGATGGGTGTGGAGACGCTCACCATGCTGTGCTGGTTGACCAGGAGGAAGAAGGCATGCGTGGGGTTGAGCTGCAGCTGGCGCCTGCATGGGGATTCAGGGGGTCAGGGCTGGTCACTTTACCATGGTTGCATTCATTAGGGCACACTGTAGTAAAAACATTTTCCAACTGCCTGACCCGTCTTTTAAATTGAACCACCTGGAGGTGTTGCAGGGCTTGTGTATTCTGAGGCAAGCATTTCATGCAAGCAAGTTTAAAGCACACATATACACTGAACAAAAATATAAACGCAACATGTAAAGTGCTGGTCCCATGTTTCATGAGCTGAAATAAAATAGTATTTCCATCTGTAATAAAGCCCTTTTGTGGGGGGGAAAACTCATTCTGATTGGCTGGGCCTGGCTCCCCAGTGGGTGGGCCTATGCCCTCCCAAGCCCACCCATGGCTGCGCCCCTGCCCAGTCGTGAAATCCATAGATTAGGGCCTAATGCATTTATTTCAAATGACTGATTTCTTTATATGAACTGTAATATTTTAATTTGTTGCATGTTGTGTTTCTATTTTTGTTCAGTGTAGCATTACTATAATTGGCATCAGTGAGATTGAATGTCCTGAAGCGGAGGGTCATATATTAAGCATCAGGGCGTCGCTTTATTAATGATTAAAAAATTAGCAAATGGATGCACTAAATGAAATAATGGTACTGATAGGTGACACTGTTAGCTGTTGTTGGGTTGTGTACAAAGACTGAACAAACGTTATGTTCAAACAAACCAGATATTACTAGAATGTTACCTTCATAGATATAGAATATACAGCAGTGGTTCTCAAACCTCTCCTTGGGGACCCACAAAGTCTAACAATTTTGTTGTAGCTTTGAACCATTTCACCTGATTCACCTATTCAAGGGCTTGATGAGTAGTTTACAAGTTGAATCGGGGGTGCTAGATCTGGAATAGATCAAATACATGGAATGGCTGGGGATCCCAGAGGAAAGGTTTGAGAACCACTGATATAAAGTATATATCAGGTGGTTACCCTCCTCAAATTTAGACATGGAGGAGGGTGAAAGGATAGCAGCCCCATCTGTCAAAGTGAGAGGCTATTCTGGATAGGGCAGGTACTTTTGTGTAGTTCCAGTCCCTAGAAGTGAGGACGGAGATAATAGTAACATAATATTCAGTGCGGTCTAATTTGAGTGTAATGAAGTCTGTTTCTTGTGAGGTTTTCTGTCCTCAGATACAGAGAGCTGTGAAATTCTGTTTGCATATGAAGAGGTCCCAATGAAAAGCAGTGGTTCTCAGTCCTGGTCCTGGGGACTCAAAGGAGTGCACATT